TTTTTTTTTTTTTTTTTTTTTTTAGGTTAAGGAAAGGTTGGAAGGCATGCTAGCTCAAGGCACAGCCAGACATGAGGGATGGAGAAGTCACAACATATCGCTGCAGCTCGAGGGTCTTGTTCCTCTGTGGGGTGAGTCGTCATCATCTGGTCGCAATCATTGACTGTGGTTGCAGTCCGATGGTCACTGTCGTCGCTGGGAGTGCATGTAATGGGATCGCGGACATTTACGGTGTCGTTGGAGCTGTGATCCCAGGGATACTGACTGGCCACGTCGGGATTGCGGTTATACTGACTTTTGCCTAAGTCAAGAGATCATGGTCTATTTCTGGCGTGTTGAGGTCGTCGATAAAGGGGTTACTGCCTTAAGGATTTCGAAGGACTTCGTCGCTTATTTCAACAGGTGCAATGTTGTTCCTGGTTAGTGTCTCGTTGATGGTGTTCCTGAGAATGAACCTGGATGAACCATGTTCACGTGATGGGCATGCAGGTAAGACAAGTATATAGTGGTGGCTTTGACCCGTCCAGCTGTGGAGAGGAGACGCTCCTGATGCTCTCGGCCACTGCGTCCCTCATGGCGCCCAGTGACTCAGTAACTGCCTGTTTTATTGAGTGATGGTTCTTATCTGATTGCAGGACTTCCATGGTCTCCCTGACATTGTTGAGCTTTTGGAGTCTGCTTGAGTTTCCTTTTAGAGCGTCTTTTAGGGTTGGCTGTAAGCCATGATCGTCGACGAGTGGTCCTTTCTATGGTGTTAGAAATTTCCTGGTTTCTTTTGTTTGGTTATTTCGGTCAGTTTCTTCTCTGTTTCTTGAAGTACCTGTTTCTGACCAGGCAGGTAGCAGAGAAGGTCCTGTGGTCACCCTCGCAGACGACACACTTTTTATGATTGCTACGGCAGTCTTTGTAGAAGTGCTAATCAGATGAACACTCAGAGCATATGACCCCTTGCATGGGGCAGTTCTTGGTCATGTGGTCATTGTATTATCACTTCATACAATGTTGGATAGGCGTATACTTTTCATATTCTATTTGGTGGGATGAGATGGAAGTGCCATATGCATAGAGCCCTTTCTCCTTCATTCTTTTGCATCTTTGTGTCTGCAAAGCGAACCTTGATTATATTATGGGCATACATAGGATACACCTCCCACAACCTTGACATTGTTTTGCTTTTGTATTTCATCTCTTATTTCTTCGTTATTTTTCCACTACATCTTTGTCTAACTTCTTACATACAAGGGTGAGCTTGGCGCCATATTCGTGGGACAATGACCTCGTAACCGTTGGTTTCATTTGTCCATGGCACCAGACTTAAGTAGTTTATCAGCATCTTCATCTGTTTCTGTGGGGATGTAACCATCTCTCAGATCCACAAGTCTATTTATTCTCACCCTTAGGTCGCTCAATGGCAGCCTAGCCCTATCCGAGACCCCTGGGTCCGGGGTTCGAGATCTTCACTCTCACTTTGGCCATGGTCAGTAACATACATGATGAATCAATGAAAATTCTACCTAATCTGTCACCTCAGCTAAACCCCATGGATGCCGCTCCTTCTGTCCGCTTGCTGGGCGAGTAAAGACGGGTCTAGGGGTTGGTGAACAGACAATCCTAGGCGGGGCCTAGCCAAGCTCTAACACCTAGCAGTGACAGGTTATAAGCACTGTCGAATCCCTAACAGAAAATGTTGCCACCCTTACTGACTCGACTCCAGCAGCCCTCTGAGGGCCCCCCTGAGGCTTTGCCCACAGGGTTCGCGTCGTTACCAACAGCAGGGACTCTAGGCGAAGGATAGGATAGGGAAGAAGTGCAGTGTACACGAATAATAATATCCATGTACAACTCCATGATAAAGCAGTCAGAACGGACCCAACGTGAAAAACAAGGCAGACAGTCGTAACGGTCAGCCGATTTGAACTGAGCAGGGAGCAGCCCGCGTAGCACGTCCGCTCGCTATGAAGGTTGGGTGGGCTCTGGTTGGGTTCATCCAAAGGAGTGTTAGCTACAAAACTAGAGAGGTTATCCTGAAACTATATTTTGCACTTGTATGACCTCACTTGAATTACGCAGTTCAATTCTGGTCACCATATTACAGAATGGATATAGAATCCCTAGAAAGAATTATGAGGAGAATGACAAGACTAATCCCGGACATTAGGAACCTTGAGTAAAGGGACAGGTTAAAGCATCTTAATGTGCACTCCCTCGAGAAACGTAGAGTGAGGGGCGATATGATAGGTGTGTATAAAATTTATACACACCTATACATTTATACTATAAATGGAAGTCAGGGTTTAACAAAGGTAATATATCATAGGTACGCAAACTGTCCAACCAGAAGTGAACTCGTAACACTGGCTTTAAATTAGACAAATTTAGATTTAGGCGCGAATTAGGTAATTAATGGTTTGGAAATAGAGTAGTAGATGAAAGGAACAAGTTATCAAGCATCATCATTAACTCGAGTACACTAGATAGCTTCAAACATAGGTTGGATGGATACATGACCCATAGGGGTTGGATGTAAATGGGACTGCCTAGTATGGGTCAATAGGCCCGCTTCAGCTTCCACCATCCATATGTTCTTATGTTCTTATCTCGGGCATTAGGAACCTTAAGTACAGAGACAGGTTAAAGCATCTTAATTGGCACTCCCTCGAGAGCCGTAGTGAGGGGCGATATGATGCAGGTGTATAAATGGAAGTCATGGCTAAACAAAGGGGATATTACAAAGGTAATCAAACTATCCAACCAGGGGCGAACTCGTAACAATGGTTTCAATTAGACAAATTTAGATTTAGGCGCGAAATATGTAAGCATTGGTTTGTAAATAGAGTAGTGGACGAGTGGAACCATTTACCAAATATCATCATTATCTCGAATACCCTGGATAGCTTCAAACATAGGTTGGATGGGTATATGAGCAATAGGGTTTGGCTGTAAATCGGACTGCCCAGTATGGGCCAATAGGCCCGCTGTACTTTTCTCCATTCTTATCTTCTTACTGCTACAGTCAGACCTGGACGACTCCCCCCAACCACCACCTTCCTAGGGAAGCCAGAAGAAGCAAGATTAGCTTTCATCAGACCTGACCAACTCAACCCTACCACCATTTCCCTAGGGAAGAGTAAAGACAACATCGCAAGTGAAGAAGGATTTCAGCCAGTAAGATCGATTGTGTTCTATTACGTAGATGTACTTAAAGTACTAATTATACTGCACCTTGCCTCTATATTTTTTTAGTTTTTGTTTAATTGGCCTCCAGCCTCTCCCAATAGCCATACGTTCGCCACCATTTTATTACCTTAATATTAAATATCCTAATACATAAGTAGCTATCCTAGCTGTGTTGAGTTAGTTGAGCCGCAGATCTATACGGCATTCAGTGACTGTAGCCTCATAGTCAATATCTGCAACTTATGCTCAAGTTCCTTCTATATTATTACTAGTAGTATTAATATTAGTACTTTTATTAGCATTATTATTAATAATAAAAGAGACAGGCGAAGAAGTGATGTATTTATTGAACCATAATATGTATGTATGTTACTTAATATTTTCCTTACATTCTATGTATACAAATACAAGGCTTTACTTTTTGCAAATTTTATGCATTTATATCTTTATTAATTCTGTTGCCCGCGAAGTGTACCATCATTCTATCAAAATAATTGCCCACCCCTGCCCTAGATAAAACAACGTTGAGAACCCATCACATTCCACTCATACCGGACACTCACCCGATCTACATACCAACATATCAGCTACCCTACTGCCAAAGGGTTGTAGTCCAGCAAATGGTACAAGAAATGGTGGAACAAAAAGTAGTCCATCCTCTCTCGTCACCATGGAACTCGCCTCTTTTCCTAGTCCCCAAGAAATATGGAGGATGGAGATCAGTCATAGATTTTCACGAGTCAACCAAGCAACTGTACCTGACAGGTTATCAATGCCTGCCCTAACTGACTTGCCACAATCTCTAGGAAAAGACAATGCCGTCGTCAGTAACCTAGATTTGTTTAGCTCCAGTCACGCCACTACCTACGTTCACCCTATCACAGTTAAGGACGGAGCAACTACAGGATCCACTGTGGTCCAAGGTAACCTACGCCTTAGAATCGAGAGACGATGTAGATTTGCCAAAACTACCTCTACCACTCTCACAGTTTGAGCTATGGCATGACGTTTGAAAGGGGGAGAACGAGGCCCTCAGGACTGAACTCCTTCAGGTAGAGTAGGTGCCTTGCCTAGCAAGACACCTGCGAAGGAGGGTCAGGAGGAGCAGGCGTGAAGAGTGGTTGTCTCCAAGGAGACTAGGGTCAGACTCAGGAAAGCTGAACAGGGTGTGGAGTGCAGTAACCCCTACCAAGTGTTGCATGAAGCTGGTGAGGAAGAGAAGAGGCAGGACGTTGTGGTGCCAGGAGAGAAAAGGGCAGTTGTTCAAACCCTGCCCAGTGGTAAGGTCGTGGTAGTTGGAGACAGCC